GGTGCCTACGATATTTCTTCTCACGACCTATCGCAAAATCAACAAGAAAAATTCATCCGCATTTATTTTTTGTGTGGAACACAAAAAAAAATCAAATTTTAGTCATATTTTACATTTTTTTTTCATTCTTAGGAATGTCTAAATTCAGTTAAACTAGCAATTCCGTATTATATTTATAAATTTTTATAACATTATACAAAAATTAGATTTTTCTTAAAAATTGAAATTTTGCCGGGAATGGGGCTTTAAGCTGAACCTGGGGACAGAAGCATTCTGGCCATCAAGAATTTCTGGATGGCCAGTCGGCATTGGAATTGGTTGGCCTAGGTTTCATAAAGCATTAGAAGCCACTGGTTATGGTTTTATAAACAAGTTTCTGAGCGCGTGTATATCAAGTTGCATGTTAACAATAATATTTCTGTAACTTTTTGCCATATATTTCTGTTAATTTTTGTAAATGCTAAAAAATAGTGTATATTTTGATTGTAAATTTTTACTGCAAATTACATTGGTCGTGTATGATGTAGCTTTAATACACAACGACCCAAAAATTTATAAATTTTTCATATGACCTTTGACCAACAATTCTGAAATTGAAATTTGGGGAAAAAAATGAAAATAAATAAATTTAAAGAAATAAATATAAAAAAAAAAGTCATAAAAAAAAGTCTTGTGCTTGCAAGCCTTATCGCATTCTCAGTGTAATTGCATTGTCTGACAAAATGTTGGCGCAATTTGTGACGGGCTTTATTTAATGGTGTATAAAATTTTGCAAACTATAATAACTATACATAAATATGACAAAATTATTACCTGAATTAATCTTTAAGTACCTTTTTAGTTAAAACTATTTAAACACATATTTATTTTATTTACATCAATAATATTGCCGTTTACATGCAGCACTTTCGTTAAGATCGTTATTGTTTACCTCGCGAAAATGTGTACACGATGGCCGATCCAGAGCTGATCATCGATTTTGCTGATGCCAAAAAAATATATTGCTACGCCTCATATTACATTCATATTTGGCAAATAAACTCTTAGATATATAAACTAATCTTTAATAGTAACAAATTGAACATTATTATTCAAAATTCTCTGGAAAAAACGATGAATTTTAATGACATTTGCAAAAGCTGATAACATCGATAAATGTTGAACGATTTTGGAAAAAATCAAAATAATATACTACTTCGACTCCTGAGTGACCTGACTGACCAGAAGGAGGCCTACTATTTATTATATTAATTTTAATTCAATGCTGCAGTGCATTATTTTTGTGGTTAATGACCCAATCAATTGGATGGTACTGTATATTCAACGCAATACAGTAATAATAGTAATATTATTAATTTTAAAAAAATGTCTTTCAACTATTTGATATTTCGATTATAATTATGTTTTGAAGAAGTGGTCTGAAAGATTTTGAGGTATATAAAAACTTGAGTATATAATTATATTAAATAAGATCAATTAATTAATTGATTTGTATTTTGTATATTAGTTAATGTTTTGTTAGTTTTAATTAAAGTTTACTGTATTTAGTTTTTTGCTAAGCACTTCTCATTATTCTATAATTTCATCATGTTTATCTCGCTCATATTTTTGTAGTTTATATAAAAAAGAACAGTACTGTAATATAATTGTTTTTAAAATAAAACATACATCTCTTCATCTATTTTTGTGTATGTTGCATAAGATACATATAATACATATAACAAAATAATATCCAAAAGCAATAAATCTATCATAAATTAAATAAAAGTAAATCTAATAATTGAATAAACCATTAACCAATCAAACTATACATTTTTTACTTTTCTTTTTTGATTTTTAACTCCAAGACAGAAATAGATCATAAAAATGTATCATGCACATGAATCATTAGAGATGATAATTGATACATGTTGACAAGACATAATACAGTACAGTATGTGCTCATATGTCAACTTTACAATAATTTTTTTTCCTCAATATAAGACATACCTGTGTTTACAATTATACTTTCATATCCCATATTTCAAATAATATCAGGTACTGTATTGTAAATTTAAATAAATATTTTAGATGGGTTACTTACATTTACAGTAGTTCTATTTGTTTATGTAAAAATGAAATAGAAAATATAAATATATAGGAAGGGATTTTTGCCATGGAACAAGAAAAAGAAGCAAGAACTGAAAACCAATAAATCTTAGGTAATTTTAATTTAAAAAAAGTGTAAATTTGCATAAATATACTAATACATGAAAATGGAATATAATATAGATAGTGATATTTAATGCTGTTAATGTTCTCAAAATCTTTGTACATAGTTATATTCTATCATTTTTTCTATCTAAGTCATTTTAATTAATTTAACAAAATGTAATATTATTTATATAATTACTTTAAAAAAACCTATCCATGGGTCATGAAATGAGCTTTAATTTAAATAGGGCTATAACAATCCCATAAATATACAAATTAATGGGAATAGAATGCATCATAAAGCGAACTTAATGCAGCTAAACTGTAATGTTCTCAAGATCCCTCTTAAACATTCCTGTCCACACTGATTTTTGATATATTATCAGCATTTTTGTTGTTTGTAAGTGTATATATATATATATATATGTATACATATATATAAAGACAAAAAATGAGAGGTTCAACAGTAGCTTTGATTAGACTTATTTATTTAACCTCTCATTTTTTGTCTTTAATTCGCTCTGGTTTCATTACCATCGAGCACTCTGCTGATAAAATTTGCAACACGTTCAGCCGTTTTTATATATATGTATATGTATGTATACAGATGCAAGGAGTTTTTCTCTGAAAGAAGAAAATATCTGCTAAAATGCCTGAATTTTACGATGGAAAAGATTCAAAACTCTGCCAAACAATCAAGGTGTAGATAAGCTGCCACCAACTGCAGGAGCCTTATATCAGCATATAATGCATGCACA